ATGCATCTAATTTTAGTTCATTTATCTAACATTTTCATTGTACTGGAACATGGGAGATGCAAGCTTCTGTTGTAGACATTGCGGATCAAAGTTTTTGTATGAGAAAATAAAAGGTTACGGTCAAAATGCAACTACTCCCTATTATACTGGTTATTGTGTTAATGAAATGTTCATCTCCCTCCTCTACGAGATCCTCCTCAATTTTCGAAAGAGTTGCTTTACGGAGATGGTCACATGAACAAACATTTTCAAGAAAACATAAGATCTTACAACAACATGTTCGGTGTCACGCCAATGGTCAATAAAATTGATGCATATATCAATAAGGTGTCAGGACCACCAGTTTTCTTTTTTTTTTTTTTTTTTTTTTTTTATTTTTTTTTTTTTTTTTTTTTTTTTTCCTTTTTTACGCATACAAAACTATCATTCAATTAGTACGTAGTTTGCTTTCTTCTGATGGTGTCAAATGATTCAAAACTATCATTTAATAAGGTGTCAGGCCGACCAGTTCATCAAATGTTTCAAATCATATGCCCTTCATTGATATTACAAATGGTATTGCATTTCTATTTCAATTTATATATAGATCAAGATATTCTCACCTTTCATTTTATAAAATGACAATTGTTTTAGAGCGAGTGAAATAAGCATATAAATCAAATATTAAATTATTATATATCAATCAATAAAATAATAAATAATTATTATTATTCAAAATTATTTTTATACTGATTAATATTGGTTTATTGCTTTAATATATTCAATTATAATTATTGCCCCGTGCATCGCACGGGCTACGTACTAGTATATTGAAAAAGAGAGGTAGATAAATCAAATGAGGAAAGTTTTAAAAAATTTGCAGTCAACCCTTTTGACTTACTGAATATGGTAACCATTTTAAAAATCCATTTTAAACATCCGAAAACTCATTCACGCGCTCACATTTATCTGTCTGTTATCTTCAGAACAGATTTTTCCTGCATAATTCACGCGTGTACAATATTGTTACGCGTTAAAAAAAATCTCAAAATCAGTTGTTTAATATCCTAACAAAATCATTCCATATTTTCCATAGAGATAAACATGTAAAGAGTCTATAAAGAAGTATTCACTGATACGGTCAGTATTCACCCTCCATAAATAACGCCTTATCCTCCTTCTCTCTTCCTTTTCCAAGTTTATTTATATTTTTTTTTTCTGGCCGACGTTTAACCGGCGAGACCGAGATCGCCTGAGGGCACCGACCGAGAGCACCAGGTTCCGGCGAATGGGCGAATCAGAACCCCGCGGCTGAGCATGTTTCTGAGCACGTCCGGCAACGGGCGAGGCTTCTTCCAGGAACAGAAGCGGCTCTCTTCCATGGCAGAGACGAGGATTCTCACGGGGTTGAGAAATCACGGAAAACGCCTTTTGCAATGTGACTGAGAAAGGAAATGAGTATTACGGTTCAGGAGAAAGGGGGATGTCCAGACAGATTGTAAAGGTTAGACTTGGAATAGATGCAAAAGTTGCTCTTGAGGTCTTGAGACTTTTTTTCTTTCTTTTTCTGGAAAAAAAAAAAAGAAAAAACATGTCTCTCATAAGGTACTGCAAACACCTGCTCGAGGTTCGCCTCTTTTCAACATATTCTCACGATTAAGGATGTGTAGTTTGTGGTGCAGAAATTATCAAAATGTGTTTTCTTTTAATAATTAGACTAAATGTTAAGGGCATCTCTTGTGAGTAGCCCCATTTGCACTGTAGGAGCAAAAAAATTGTTTGTGTGTGATTCTGATGCTGATATTATGTGTTTTGATAATGATGTGCTCAGGATGGAAAAATGATGTACTCTAATGGGAGGATGATAGATGAAAACCCCTTCAAGAATGATCTTGCTGTAAGTTTTCTGTCTTACATGATGACTTATTCTGATACTATATATTTGGATGCAACATTGATATGCCTTTTTCCCTGCATTTGTGGGACCTTATTTGTAGGCTTCAAAACGGATGAGGGAAGAATTCCCACAGCAGCAATACTTATGATATTCGTTTCAGGCTATTTATTTGTTAGCTGCAGAAGTACTTGGAGTCAGATCCATCAACGTAGCTAGCAGACTTATCATAAGTATGATGGCAGGTAAGCACATATAGTATTCTCACTATAAATAACATTTTGTTTTCAACTTTATGGTTTCTTGCACTTAAGCTGCAAAATGCCCTTGAAGGTTAGTTTATTCTAGTGTGATTATCTTCTCTACTCATGTCAAATATTTGATAATTATTCACTAACGTATGTGTAGATTCAAGGATATATTCCAAGAAGTTTATGAATCAAACTAGAAATTGAAGTTGAGGAAGCAAGAATCTGGCATTCCCACCGACATTACAAAAAAAGGGCATTTTAGTAAGCTGCAAATAAAATTAATTTGTTTCGAACTCTCTCCTAGGACTTTTGAAATGTTATAATCTTTTACGCGACAAGATTTTACATTTTTTATTTGAGAAGTTGTATGGCTTTTCTCTTTTCAAGTTACAAGCAGTCGCCTTCCTACCCGTTATTATTGGCGACTTTCTTATACTATAACATAGGGCCCTGTAACACACCTCTGTTTGTCAATTAGACTGTAACTGATTGAATTATAATATAGTTTAGATATTTGCATTCTATATGAGTTCATATGGATTATCTAATTTGCGAGGATGTACCCATTCTCCCGAAGTTATGGGATTATTGAATTCTATATTGTGCATGCTTTAGTTAATTAATAATATTTGGTCTTGACTTCTTATGCAAACTTTAATTTTTTTATTTTTTTTTGGTAGTATACAACTGCTCTTTACCTTGAAATTTAGTTTTTTAAGTGAATTATTCTTCTTCTAGACTGCTACTCATAATTTCACGACATTGTTATGATTGTTCAGAAGATAATGTACTAATGTGATGTAGTTTTTAAGTAGTTTGATGTTTCTTTATATAATCATATGTAGTTTTCATAAGGTGAAACAAGGTCTGACATTTACCACTTGCTCTAGAATTTCATGATTCACATTTGATTTTGTTTATTATTTTATACAATTGTGGTAATTTATGAATATTGGATTGTTTAACTTTCTAATTTTTTAGCTTAACTTATGCCTTCACGAGTGCATGAACATATTCAAACTGAGCTTTTAGCTTCTAACTTCATTAGTCTGTTAGAGGCCTAATATTATTTGTCCTTATAGTTTTCTTGGAGAGAGAACATCGACGTTGGGATCCGATCGATTCTTCTCTCATGCTGGAGACGTACCAGGCCTGTGTTAGTCTCCAGAGCATATGATTGTGCTGATGATACCTTTGTCCTGCTTCAGTCTTACGCACACGTGTTTCAACAAATGTGTCGAGCACAAGTATGTGTTACCGAATGCATACTACATATCTGATAACAATTATTTAATTTTAAATATATTTATAATTTAAGTTAATCAAAAAATTTTATAATATTAAAAATTGTATTGATAGAAATAGATCTATTTATACCACTCCAAACCGAAACACATAAAGCTATCCTTATCGGTGACCCATTAGGTTGGGTCACCAGGAAAAAGACAAAAAACAAAAATAAATAAATAAATAAATAAAAATAAAAATGCAGGAAATTACGCGACCCAAGTCACATTGTGACCTTGGGTCGCAACCGGCCTTGGGATGTTTTTTCCTTTTATTTAATTCAATTCTTGCTTGGATGATAAAGAATGGGACACTTGTCCTATTCTGATTGGCCACCTTAATTTTAATGTGATAAGATAAGGTAACTCAATTATTGAGTTTATTATATATTAAAAAAAATATCAAATTTCGTATTTTTTCATTCTCTATTAATAGAGACCACTCTTGATATGTTTTAATCTTACCCAATTTCCAGTTTCTGTAAATGCCCAACCCCCACAAAACATCTCCCAAAATCTATTTCAAAATGTGCAACAGACACGCACAAAACCTAAAAAAGGAACGAAAAATGTTAGTTGGAGTGTGGCAGAAGATCTTGCTCTAATGTCAGTTTGGTGTTCCGTTAGCGAAGACAAAATGTGTGGCAAGAACCAGAAGGGTTCTTCATTATGGGCACGCATAGCTCAATGTTTGAGCAAGCTCGATTGAAAAATCCAGAAGAAACTGGTGAAAGAAACTTGGATTCAATGAAAGGTCGTTATAAACGCCTTAATAAAAATGTAAACAAGTGGAGAGGTGCTTACATAGAAGAATACAGAAATAAAAGGAGCGGAATGAGCATGAAAGATGTTGAAAAAGAAGCTCATATAAATTATGAAGCTGGTGGTAGCAAGTTTACAGACTTGCATGTGTTTGAAGAAGTCATGCGAAACCATCCCAAATGGGAATTAAAAATTAGATCGTGATTCAACTCGTTCACGCCCTAAAGATGAAGCGAGTAATGAAGAAAGCCATGGCAGTTCCAAAAGATCAAGGACTACTGAAGATGGAGATTATTCAATTCCCTCAAATCCAGAAACTCCATTTAGTGATGGTTTTGTGATTCCCGTCTCGAAGGTAGAGATATGGAGAAAAAGAAAGGAAAAAATGTAGCATCACAACCTTCTTCCATTCATGATGAGTTCACTGCAGAAATTCGTGCACTAAGACTTACAAGAAAGAACGAATGTGATTTAATGACCAAAATATCGAACGATAGGATGGAGTTGGAACGCAAGAAAGAAGAAAGGAAGATTAGGAAAATGAATATGATGGTGTTGAATATGCGTTGGCAAAAGACCACTTATCGCCGGAAGATGAAGAGATGAAACGTCATTTAACAACAATTTTATTTGGAAAGTCGATGTAATTTATTATCATGCAACTTTTATTTATGTCATTTTAGTTATTCTGATGTAAGCTTTTCAATTTCTGTAATTCAAGTTATTCAATAAAAGTCTATTTAGTAAGTATTTTTATCTACTCCTTTTCAAAAATCACATGTTACTTCTATGATTTTAATTATATCCGTAATCTTTTTTTTTTTTAGNACTGCAGTCAAAAGCCACCACAACAACCAAACCAAAATTACAACACATTTATTTTTATTTTTTTTTAAAAAAAAAGTTTCCAAAAAACAAATTTAGTCATAGGCAGCGCTGAAGTAGCTCCGGGCCCCATTGGCCGACAATATCTGCAGCACGGCCGCGTTCGTGGGCCCCACGCACCTGGGCGTCTTGAACTGGCTAACGGCAGCCCCGAGGCCCACATAGTGATCCAAAATCTTATGAAACGTCCCTTTCCTCACAACCCGAAGCTCCAAGGGCCCAATCGAGCCCGTCTTACGCGAGCTCATATAGCCCGCGTCCAAAAACGACCTATCCAAACAATCACAACACTCTTGTAAAACCTCGTCCTCCGCTTCTCCATTTATCTCCCAAAACACAACGTAACGAGCCGGGTCGCCAGACGGGTCGGCCCGACTCGTGAAGTCCACTACTTCAAGCTTGCGCTCGGCTAGAAGGCTCCCCGCAGCCTCGACTGCCAGCTGGAGGTCCTTTTCGGTATTTTTGTCGATGTTGATTGTGAGAAGGAGATTTTTACGGCACACGAATTGGAGCTTTGGGGTTGAATTGTGAAATCCGTTGACTTTGACCACGTCACCTAATCTATACCGATATAATCCTACCAAAAAAAATATAGAAAATGGAGTTGAGTAAAATCTAAGGTAAAGCATCTATTTTATTTTTGTCAATTATTCTTGGGTTTTGGGATTTCTCAACAAGATCTAACAAAAGCAATAAATAAATAAATTCATAAACATTTGAGAACCAAACTAGTTTGACCTTTTTTTCATATGAATATTCGGCCTCAATCTCAATGCCAAGGAAAGTTGGTCAATTTGAGATAAATAAATTTTACTAAAATATAGGCATAGACTTTCGGTTTGAAATCATGATTTAATTAGGTGGGTGTTTAGTGTGTAACACGCATTTTTAAGTAACGCACTTTCTAAAAGATCAACATAATCAGGGGTCAACCGTATATTATCACAATCCTTAAGAAAACGAAAAGTAACTTTGAAATTAGGCTTAGTGGGGGAGACTCGGACATTATTGAATCAGCAATTAATTGTAATTTATAAATACATTTGAACCAATATTCAGAAACTACAACTATGCATACTCAGTAATAACTAATAAAGTTTATCAGCTTATGCATAAAAGATGATATTTCAAGTTAACGTCACATGCACTCACCTTCAGAAACAGCTTTATATAAATTTATATTTCACAAAAAACTATATAACTAAAATACAAAAAACTATATATATAAAAAAGAAGAGTAAACTTCATCCCTAAAATTATGGATCCACAATCTAGTGGGCACTATAGAAATATTGCCAGGCTACTCATGTTGAGCATTATAATATACAGGAGTCACATGAAAGTTCCAAGTATAAAAGTAGTCAAACAAGAAAAAGAAAAAGATAATAATTTTCTAAGTCTAATCCACTTATCATGTGAACCAATGACCATATCTACTCATAGTTTTTTTTATGTGTTTTGCCCAATAAATGAGAACACAATAAACAAGAACAATTAAGGGGGCAATTAGACCTTGCAATGTACTAAAATACAAGCATGCTTGCTTGCTTCATCTCGTGAACATATTTTTCACTCAAGATTTCAAGAAATTAAACAAGAATAAATTGTAGGGTCAAGATGATGACACAGAAAGAACTCTATCTTGATCAAGAAAACATCGTACGGACAAATGTAACCGATCAAGACGACTTTCATTTCTCTCCTCCATTTTTTCTTAATCCAATTTAGAAATCAAGAATTAGCACCAAACTAAGGTCAAATTTACCAAAAAAAAAAAATTGAATTGGAAAAACAGTTAAAATTACCTGCACAATTGGTCAAGAGGATCTCATACTCCTCACCCACCTTAACTTCAGTAAGCCCGACTGCCTCAGGCTCGACACACCGTTCACCATTCTTCGCCACATTCAAAGGAATAAATTCGAAAAACCCAATATTCGGCAAAACAGCGTAAGTCACTTGCTCGGGTGGCAACTCGGGATTAACATTAGCCCCAATCCACCCTTCAGACGACCCATAATCCGCACTACACAAAGGCAATCCACCCGCATAATGCCTTAGTTTTTTCAAATATGGCTCCATAGAACCCGTCATAATCCCATAAATATATTTCGTATTCGGAAAAAGCTCCTCAATCAATCCATACCAATTGCTCACCCTTAACCCCACACACTTGCTATAAATCAAATCAGCCAATTCGGGCTTCGGGCCAAGAACTTTTTCTATGGCGGCCCGGATTGAAGGGACTGTAATTCGGCTACTCAATGACCCTTTTCGAATATCCTCCACGAGTTCTTCCCAAATTTGTTCGAATGTTCGAAAAGCATGGACTATGCTGTGGGCGAAAGTTGAGGACACAACTTGGATTTCTTGGCGGGAAATGAGGCCGCAAAGGAGATGGCAATAGAGGGATTGGTGAAAATCGGGCCCGAATATAACTTCGTCCGGGCTGCAGCATGGTGTTTGCATGGATTTCATAGTTTTCTTGAATTTCGAGTTTCGATAAACATTTGTCGTGGCAGTTCCTGCGGATAGGCCGCCTTTCGTCTTGAATTGCTTGCTGCTGTAGATGAATTGCAAGGCCTTCCCGTTTGAAATCGGATACATTCTGCAAAAAGAAAAAAAAACAATGGATATTTATTACCACCTCCTATTTTTTTTAAATATCATTTTGGTTTTATCAACAATTAACTAAATAAATGACGTTTTGAATCTTTTGTACATATTTTTCCATTATTACCCTCATCGAGCTAATAAAGGCACTACGTCTCTTCATCTTTTCTCAAAACATCGATCTCTATCCTCATTAACGAGGGTTACTATTGGCAAAAAAAAGATTCTTAATTACTGTGCAACTTCTCAAAACGACACTTATTAAAAATATGAGGGAGTATTAATGATTGAAGACCACAAACATAAAATAAAACCATTTTACAGAATGAAGATATATATATCACTATACCTGTTCCTAAATGCAAAAGATGTCTTGTATATCTGTGTAGTGCTCTCCATCAGTTCATCGTTAAAAGGTACAAATTTCGGCTTCCCTTGAGTCGTGCCAGAACTGCAAACAAACCTCATAAAATTCAAAAACATTTTTTTTTAAAAAAAAAAAAAAAAAGAAAGGAAAATCTCTATCATATTCTAAAGTGATGAAATTGTAAAAACTTCACCTCAATGAAATTGTGGTTATGGGTTTTCCAGTAAGGGCCGACTGATTTGTGCCATCGGCAATTTTCTGAATGTAAGGTTCAAAGTCATTGTGAGTGGCAATGGGAACTCGGGCCCTATAACTATCGGGATCGGTTAAACCATTAACCCCACATTTCCGCAAATACTCTGTCTCACCATTTTCTTCCAAGATTCTCTTAAGTGTCTCCTTCTGAACTCTACCTGCATTTCTGGTCAACCACTCGAATTCTTCTATGAATGACTCCGGGTCGAATTTTTCCTCCATTTTCTCCAACATATTAACAAACAAGCAAGCTGCAGGTAAAAATAGATTGAGCACTGAAGATATTATAATCATGGAAACACAGAAGCTGGGATTAATTAAAACTCAAATAATAAATTAGAGTTCACACAATCTTTATGGACGGAATAACGGAAAGTTGGTTCCTTTTTCTACGCTGGTCAATAGAAGGGTTGAATTTTTGGGCGGAAAAGCAGATGGACGGAAGTTAATTTAAAAAGGAAGAGAAAAATTATTCTTTGATGACAGTAAATGCTATGAAGTGGGATTTGTGAATTAAACTATAATTCTATTTCTGGGTAATTCAGAGGCTACAATTAGAAAGGGGAAGGTCTGAAATCAAGGCACCCTCTCTATTTTCACAATTAATTAATGCATGAAAAAAGAATCTTTCAATTAATAATTCTTGAGTTTTCAAGAAAATTTAGCACCCAAAAGAATGATACCAATCAAATAAAATCTGCAGATGATAATAATACTTCAGATTCACCAGGTATCACAAACACGAGAATCACGCGCGGTTTTTTCACAAAAGTTGGTAAGAAAAGTCCAACACTAACTTTCAGAATTAAAGAAAACAACGAAAGGTCTCCCAAAAATTCCCAAAAGGAAAACTGTAAAACTACAAATAAAGCCCCTCGATTGAAAGGGGCGAAAAGGAACCCATAAAGAAAAAAAAGCTTATTTAATTCGTAAAAACAGAATTGAAAATTAAAACATCACAAGAGAAGCAAAACCCATATTACAGAAAACATCAAAGATTCACATAATTCACGAACCTTAACCGGAAAAAGATTGTGCGGCCGGGAAAGCAAAATCTCTTACGCAGTAATGGTTTTCGATGGGTCTGTGATTCCTCGGAGTTCACTCACTCAATCAGTGTATGAGTGTGCTGTCTGATTCAGAGGACGATAAAAATTCAACTTTTTTGTGAATAAAAAGAAGTAAAATTGTTGGGTTTACGGTTGGATGGGCTGAAGGCAAATGAGACAAGATGTGTGAGCAGAAAAATATGGAGAGTGAGACAACATGAATTTGAGAAGAAAATGCTGTCTTTATAATGGATGATGAAGATTCTCTCTCTTACCTCAAATTGGGCTTTGCAGATATTATTATATTATGTGTAGAGAGAGGGTGAGGTTTCTACCAACGAATTGCCAGAAATAGCCTTGCTGAAACGGTTAAAAAATTTGTGTGAATTCAGGAAAAATAAATAAATAAATAATGATCAAGCTCATCTAAGGTTTATTCATAAAAAAAGATAATAATAATAATAATAATAATTACACATTTCGTGACCATAAATCATAATATAGACGGGAGGTATAAGGTATTGTTTCACTGACTGTTAATATTTTCAACAATGGATTTGTGGTTGCCAGATTTTTTGCCGGGTACTTATAGTAGTTTGTTAGTGGAAAAACAAAGATGAAAAAAGAAAAAGAAAAATAAAGAAATATCTTATTTTCTACTTATTTTTTTTATCTTCTGAAAATATTTTGAAATAAAAGAAACATCTTATTTTCTACTTTTTTTAATCTGTAGAAAATATTTTAAATATTTTGAAATAAAAAAAAAAATAAAAGATACATCTTATTTTCTACTTTTTTTAATGTGTAGAAAATATTCTCAAAATATCAAAATAGAAAGAGCGATCAATCTATTAGAAAAACAAAGATGAAAAAGAAAAAAAAATAAGGAATATCTCATTTTCTACTTTTTTTTTTTTAATCTGTAGAAAATATTCTCAAAATATAAAAATAGGAAGAGCGATCAATCTAATGTTATTCGTTAGGTTGGAATTTGGATGTGATATTATTTTTACTGATATATATTTTGAAAATTTTCAGATAGTGATATTGTAGATAGAAATAGTTTGTAATCGTATTCGTTCCTTATGTATACGATTTCATGTAATGCGTGAATAATTTTGTTCTTTCTTCCTTTCTCTTTTTCTTTTTTCTTTTCCATTTTATTCCTTAACATTGAAATTTGATTTCATATTTGCTAATTATTTAATGCATTAGTTTTATGTTAGTTTACAATCCATTTAATAAGTCAATAACAAAATCAATCAATCAACAAGCAGTTAAAATCTCACTAAGTGTGGGTCGGTTATATAGATCGCATGTCGCCATTGTACTCGATCAAAATACATATCCTCATCCAAATTTAAATATTTTAAATCATTTTTTATTATCTCCTTCCAAGTTTCCTTAGATCTACACATTCCTCTTTTAATGTGCATTTTTATTCTAATGTTTCCAACCTTCTCACTAGGGCCTCGAAGTCTCTCCTACGCACATGCCCAAATCATCTTAATCGTGATTATCTCATTTTCTCCTCTATGGGCGCTACCAAACTTTATTTATAATTCTTTCATTTCTAATCTTACTTAACCTACTATGCCCACACAACCATCTCAACATCCTCATCTCTGCCACTCGCATTTTGTTGATAATTTTCATATTTAGTAGCCTAACACCGGATCCATAAAGCATGTCGAATTGCCGTTCGATAGAACTTGTTTTTCAAACTCACTGATATTTTACAATTACAAAGTATCGACGACGCGCTCCTCCACTTGTTCCATCCCGATTGAATTCTATATGTTACATCCTTATCTATGTTTCTATTATCTTCCAGAAAGGATCATAAATATTTAAAACTTTATGTTTTCAATTCGTATTCCTCAATTTTAACCTTAATCCCATTATTATTCATTTGATTACTAAATTACACTCAATATATTTCGTTTGGCCCTACTTATTTTGAAACCCTTTGTTTCAAGCGTCTCTCTCCAAGATTCTAACTTAGGGTTTACCCCCTCTCTTGTCTCATCTACTAACAGTATTTCATCCACAAACAACATGCAATAGGTGACATCCAACATGATGGCGACGAGATCACGTTCGCATATCTGGGAAAATACGATCTTCTCCGACTTTAGGATATTTAATTATTTGATTGCCATATTTATTTATTTTATTTTTTTTTTGTTTGCTTTATCTAATTAAGAGAATAATTCTTTTCTTGTCTAGCAAAGTAGGGATTTAGATTGTTTTGGACTCTATTTATTTTTTTATCTTACATCTAAGCCGATAGGCTATTAAGAAATAAAACACAGATTTTGAAGTTGTTATCTCTTCTTCCCTTTCGTTAACGCCGCACTGCATCAGTTGGTATCAGAAGTCAGCAAGATTCACAATGGTGCAGCGAAGACAAGATGCTGCAGACGACAGGCGTGACGCCGCCATCTACAACCTCAGCCGCCAGACCGAGGGGTTTGGCCGCCGACCTAAGACGAGGGGTCGTAGGATTGCGGATCTGTCTGCGGAGATCGGGGACATACGTCTAACTCTCCATAAATTGGTTTTAGACGAGCAAATGAACAACAACTTGGCCGGCCGGGGCGATCGCTGGGGTTATCGCAGAGGTCGTGGCGGAAAAGGCCTGGCGGGGGCAACCTGTAAGCATACGCCACCACCAATGCACGACGAAGAGACGCTGTTGAAGGTCAACCCCTTCAGTTTCTGACAAACGCAGCAAGATAACACCGGCTTCGTCGACTACGGTTTTGGTGACCACTAATGGGAGGTCGCGTTTCGCATCGACATACCTGAGTTTTTCGGCGGATTAGACGCTCGGAGTACTTGGATTGGATGGCTGCGGTCGAGATCTTCCTCGCCTATTCGGGGCCTGTGCGGATGAGCAGGGGTCAACCAAACATGAGGGTCCGCCTCGTTTTGATAACGAGGGGATGACCGAGTATGAGAGTCCTCCGATTTTTAATGAAGAGAATCCTATGGCATTGGTGGCGCCGGTGGGTGTCGTGGCGATTGTTGAGAATGAAACAATGGATTCCGTGATGAAAGAGGCCTCAATCACAGACGTTGAGATTTATTTCCCATGGCGGTCCTTGTCGATTTCTCTGATCGCGAGTCGCTCGTCAAATCTGCTTCTTCTTCGCTCAATTCGAAGGATGTCGCTCAATTAATGTTTGGGAGTTACTTTTTATGGCGCTGAGAACAAAAGTCAAAGTTGGAGCCTTCTATAGCTATAGCAGAATCATGCCATGTCAAGTTTGTGGTGGGCCATTGTGCTTAGTCGTATTTAAGAATGCTATATTGCGCCGGATTCGAGGGCGAATACTTTTTGACAGGGGAGAATGATGGAGAATATAGATATTTAACTTAATTAATTAATTAATTTCTTTGTTTAGATTATTATTAGTTATATTCTAGATTTGTTAGTAAACTTATTTATTTATTACATTATTATAATCTTTGTCTTGTTGGACAAGCTAGAAATTTACGGTTTGAGAAGTCTTATTTAAAAGAGTTTTCTTCTTTTGTTTCAGTCAGTTGATATTGAATAAAAAACATCGTATTTGAGATTGAATCTCTTTTGTCTTCTCCCACTCGTATGCTTCTCTACATCAGTTGGATGAATTTTTTGATATTTTTCCAGAGGCGCTGCCATAGGGTTTACCACCTCTCAGAGACATACAACACCAGATCGGCTTGGTGCCTATCGCTTCTCTTCCGAACCGCCCACATTACTGTATGAGCCTGACCGAGCATGACGAGTTTGTTAGTGTTATATACTGAAAGCTTGGGTTTGCATGTTATTACACATTTATCCTTTATGAATGAGAATCATGTTAGATTAAACAAGTTCTTACGTTCTGTTGTTCTGCACTTAGATAGAGTGGGTCGTCATCGGGCGAACCGAAGATCACTCTATCAGTTACTTGCTAACAAGAATAGTTGTTCACAACTTAGATGGACACGAACACTCAATCCGAATGGTTGTAGTGTCAACTGTACAGTTTGTCTTGACTGATTAGTTGCACTAGTAAATTTATGTATTGAACAAGATCCCAAAGAGGAGAATTTCATTTTATACTGATCGTCGTAAATGAACTAGGCCCGGTTAATTACTATGTTCTCTTAACCCGTAAGATATTAAACATGCAGATATATATAATATATATTACTTTGATTCACTTGGGTGAGGTTCAGTTCACTGTATCAATATTTCTACTGTTTTGGGTAATATTATTATATATAGGATGTGCTGTTAGGATATTTACGGTCACCAGGTGCGTTAGTTTGATGATGTCCCCAGAGTGAGTTCATGAAGGATTGTTATGCTAAACCCTGCAGGTGGATTAAGTTCCGGCATAATAAGAATGTGATGAACGAGCGCTAGTTTCGGTGAAATAATAATAAATTAATTAATTCTTGATTTTCAATAATCGAATTAATTAATGGACATTATATCTGAAACGTGGGGAGATAAATCGAGAAATTATTATTGGAGTCTCAAATCTAATTTGGGCTATGAAAATGGAGTGCAATAATATAATATTGGTGGCCCATTAATATTATTTAATTAATTAGAGGAGTGGGCTTGGCCCACAGTTAGTCAAATTAATTAGGGAAATTTTCACCTATGCTATCCGTTTATAAAATAATTGCTGCTTTACCACTCAATCTAATTTAATTGTGTATATGCCTAATTGATAAGATTTATTTGCATTCATGCCTAATGTCAGTTACAATTCTCTCTCAACCCTATCCCCTGTTTTTTTGCGCAAGATTTGCAGATTGATGATGGAAAGAATCAAATTTATTACAGATAGGCCACTTCCATTCCAAATTTATAGGACATGATTTGTGGGTAGTTAGAAAAAAAAAAAAAGAAATTGTCGTTGATTTTTTTTTCTGTTTTCATTAATACACACACAACCAAAAGAAAGAAAAAAAAGACGAACACAGAGGGCGTTGACCTCTTTTTTTTTCAGCAATAACAATTCAGGGATATATACTACAAAAAAAAAGAAAAAAAAAACAACAAAAGGGGGTCGATAGGATTTTTCAGCTATAACACTTCACGCAACATACACCTCAAGAAAAAAAAAAACAGTCGAATATATATTTCACTTATACTGTACATATACCATAACACAACACAAACGATAGAGGCGCGATCGATCTTTCAAGGTATATATTTAACATATATTGTACATATACTGATAATAAACTCTACATATACCTCAAGAAACAAA